AAACAGAGCAGTCAATAAAACAGATGACAATCCCAGGGCTTGTGAAATCGACCCTAGAGTGCCACGTCTAAGTGAACACAGGCATGCTCTTCGTTCTCGCACTTTCTTCGCTGCCTTGTGTATTTTATGCCCCCTCCCCCACACACCTTATTTCTCAAACAATTGACATATAATTGCAGGATCTTACAAGCCATCCCTTCAATTGGTGGCATGGAATGTATACAAGCCAGAGGCTAAGAATTTCCATTGCAAGAGACTTCAATGCAGGAGACTTGTCTATTAATTCTTAAAACTATTTCAAACTAATGATATTAATTAGCCCAACTACTAACTGCTTTAAATTAATAATAATTTTTAATTAGCTCCACTCTATGGGCTAATAAAAAACACTAAACAGTTCAAACTGACCTAATTTGTATATTTTATTCCATTTACAGTGCTCCACTATTTAGCCTTAGAACATCTATAAAAGCAGTTACGTTTGTTTATTTATTTAGATCAGAGTTTCACGTAGCCCAGGCTGATCTCCAGCTGTGTAGCTGAAGGTGACCTTGAATTCCTGATCCTTCTGCTGTCACTTCCCAAATACATATATTTATAGAGCTGGTTTGTTTTATATGTGCTGATTAAGAAATCAATGAAGGGAGCATGAAGAGATTGACTCACCCGAGGCTACACAGCCACTTACTACAGAGCCGTGACATAGAGGCATCTGGGGACAGCACCCAGTCATCAGCATCCCTGAGGATGACCCACAAAAATCTGGCCCGGGAGGCCTGACAGCAATCCCTACTGTTGCTGGAAGGACTTGGAAACTCGAGACACCTACTCACCCCTCCATGGGGTGCAGGGCAATGGCCCTGGGCTTCTCCAGGTTCTGCCACAGCAGCACCTTCCGGTGGGCCCCATCCAGGTTAGCTACCTCAATCCTCGATGTCCCAGAGTCAGTCCAGTAGAGCTTGTCGTGGACCCAATCCACAGCCAGGCCCCCTAGTGAGAAGGGACAGTGGGAAAGCGTCAGGGATTCACCCTAAGCAGTTCTGGGTCCTAGAGACAAGAGCAAACTCTTCCAAGAAGCCATTTCTGGGGGCCGGACCTTGTGGTAACTATTTTACATGTGTCAGTTCATTTAACCATCACAGGTCTGTGAGCTGGGTATTACAATCTCCATGAAATGGAAATGGACTCAAGCAACTGGCCATGGTCTGAGGATGACCTTGAACTCCTGATACCCCTGCCTTTACCTCAGGAGTGCGCCATCACAGCCTGGTTGGATAACAGATCCTAGGTACCTGACCCACCCTCCCTCTCTGCCTCCTTTCCACCCCCCCTTATTGGGGCTGGTGCTGGGGACAGAATTCAGTGCCTTTCTTAACTTCAGCCCTGCATACCAACTTCTAAGTCACTTAACCTGCTTGTAGGTCTGAGGTCACCAGATTAGCTGTGGCCTTTTGTTTGTTGAGAGGGGGTGTGTGTGTGTAGGGTTTCATGTATCCTAGCCTCTCCTCAAACTGGACACATAGTTAGGAATGACCTTGGACTTCTGATCTTTCTGTTTCTACCTCTTCAGTGTTAGGAACACAGGCATCAGCAGGTCTGGTTGATGCAGTGCTGGGGGATCAAACCCAGGGCATCACATATTCATGCTAGGCAAGCAAGCACTCCATCAACTAAACAACATCTTCAGCTCTACAGTTGTTTTCTGTGTCAGGGTTCCACCCAGATTACACTGGGAGAGACATTCTGCACCGTGCAATTTGTAAACACGGGCCTGTTCCTTCCTTTCCACTGTTTTTTTTTTTTTTTTTTTCCCCGAGACAGGGTTTCTCTGTGTAGTTTTGGTGCCTGTCCTGGATCTCCCTCTGTAGACCAGGCTGGCCTCGAACTCACAGAGATCCGCCTGGCTCTGCCTCCCAAGTGCTGGGACTAAAGGCGTGCGCCACCACCACCCGGCTCCACTGCTTCTTCACACATCGTCTCCCTGGCTCTCCACTCAGGGCCTTGTTTTCCTACCTGGGCTCTCTAACCCAGTAGACACAACCTCCTCCACATTGCTGCCATTAAGGTTGGCACGGAGGATGCGATCCAGGGTGACATCAGACCAGAAGACCAGCTCCCGCCGGTGATGAAAGTCAAGGGCAATGGCGTTCTCCAGGTTGTTGAGTAGCAGTGTGTATTCAGAGCGGTGCGGGAGCACCTGCCGGATGTCGATACGATTGGCAAACAGTAGCACGGGTTCTGGCCCTGGACACAGCATAGAAACAAAAGCCCACTGGGCTTCAAGCTACCAGATACCCAACAGCATGCACCCTCAGGCCCTCAGCTGGCAGCAGGGGCCCTTTGCCCTCTGGAGTATGTCTCAAGCTGTGGGCATCTGAACTAGAAAAGTAGAATCCTCTCCAACCCCAGCCCAATCGCCTTTTGCTTGGGGCCCGAATTGCAACTTGCAGACATAAATCTCTGTACTTCTTAGGAAATCCCTCAGCTCCAGAGCACCTGACATTCCTCTCTTTAGTCCTCAGCCCACCCAGCCAAGTGCCGACTCTCCTTACCCAGAGCCTTGCAGCTGCGCCGGTCAGGCCGTAGCTCATAACCGGCTTCACACCAGCACTGGAAAGCTCCCTCGCTGTTGGTACAGCCCTGGCTGCAGTAGCCCTCCTCAGCACATTCATTCACATCTGTGGATACCAGGCAGGGTCAGGGGGCCTGCCTCCGGCCATCCTCCCGCTCCGATTCACTCCTCAGTCACATCCCCATATCCCCGTCTACTGCCTCAGCCTGGTGGGAAGCTGTGTAACAAGCAGTTCGGGGCTTTGAGGTCAGGCAGACCTGACTTCACATCCCACTTCTGCTGCTTACTAGCTGCGTGGCCTTGGGTCAGTCACTCACACTCTCTGCCCTTCAGTTTCCCCTATCTGCAAAATGGGAGAAACGATCCCCACTCTCCTGAGTTAGTGCAGTGAAGGAATGATGTCACAGCGGCTAGGTCACACAGCTTCCTATAGGTTGCTCCCGCTCAGCATCCTGACTCTCCCCCAGCGCAGGCCTCAGCTCACCCTGGCACGTTCTCCCGTCCTCTGTGAGCCGGTAACCCGTGTGGCAGGTACACTGCACTGCCCCTCGCACCATCTGGCACTTCTGGGCACAGCCACCGTTGTTAACATTGCAGTTCTCCTCACCCGTCCGGGGCCCTGTGCCAGCCAAGCCAGAGTTGGGAGTTGAGCCCAGAATCCACCCCCGTCCAGCCAATTTGGCATGCCACCTGGACCACGAAGAACAGCTCCCGAAAACTGTGCGAGTCACAAGGGAGGCCTCCCTTTGAACCCTACGGGTGGGGTGCGGCCACAAACCACGGGCCCGGCCCGTACACTAGAGACACTCACGACAGTTCTGCTGCGGGCCTTCGTCACTGCTGTCCCCGCAGTCATTGACCCCATTGCACAGCTTCCTCTGCC